TGCCAGTAGTGACTATCAATCGAGAGGATATCGTAATACCATCTATAGAGTGGATTTAGGCCGTGGACGTGGATGTGGACGTTGGCGGGCTCCCAGTCGTGCTAGGCCTGTTCTTTGACAGTGCATGTAGGCCAGTTTCCACGATTAACGCTACGTCAAATTGATACTCAAGAGGGGATAAACGACTTAATTGGGATCAGTAGAGGGGAAGATACACCGAAGGATCATAAGCAGCACGGAAAAAGGAGGTGGAAAACAACATCGTCCAACCCATTGTGAGTCAGTCTGGTGATCATTGGCCACGAAACCTCCAAATATGTTAATGAATAGCCTTTTCTACGCCCCTCGTATAGCTTTCTCTCTGTGAATGACCGTCGCCATAATAAAATAGTACCATTCATGGAAGGGCCGCCACGACACCCACCCTACGGGAAGGTTCACCGATGCCTTACTTACTATCATCTCTTCTATCACGTCTCTCTCCCGGACAACTATATTTGACCTTGCATGGTTACACATCACCTTAGGGGCAATGCCTTTGAAGCAATTTGATGACAGTGCCGCTTTCTCTTGGAACCGCCATAATGATGACACAAACGTCGAGTCATCTAATTGACAAAAGAAGATGCGCGAAGTCAAATGGTTGGCCCATTCGTGATGAGAGTTAATCGCAGCGCTAGACAAGGGTATGGCTGAATTCAAGTTTGGTTCGGTCGTTGCGTTGGTCACGTGTCGCCCAAGTGTTCATTGGATGTTTCCTTTGTAATATCCCTAGCTAAAGCCTTTATTATAGTGATCAATCACATAAGCCGGATATCAAAGTTAGTGGATATCTTATATAGCATGGTTGAAGTACAACGACAAAATTGGGCGGGAAGATAAACACTGGCCGGCAAAACGATTCGATCGCAATCTAAACATCGGGCCATGAAAAACATATGGAATACTTGATACATTGATCTCCAGTGTGTATTGAGGAAAGGATGAAGATGGTTTGTCTTAGGTGGCAAGGTCGAAGTTCTGTTCTGGGAAGAGATGCTCAGAGTTGGAACATAAACCGAATATTGGGTATATATTTGAGCCACTAGATTCTATTATACAAGATTCACTTTATGGATACGCACTGAATCTTGGGTATTATGAGTCAAAGTCTCCAGCGCAAATGCTTCAGGCTCATTGCCAATCTGTGAGTCCACTGAAATATGGTAGAACCAAGACTACAGTCAGCCTTCAACATCCTAAAGGCCGTCATTTGATATTGTTCAGACAAATCATATCCTGAAGCAAAGATCCTGTAAAGTACGAGGTTATACTTCTGGTGCATCGGATCGAGAGAAGTGATTCAGCTTCAACTCACATCAGATTTTGATGCCTCCAACTGAGGTGTATGCACCAGTGTCGGGATCCGTGGGACCCATAAGACACAATTGGATTTCATCCACACTCCACGTGCCAAAATCCGATCTTTGAGGCGTCGATGTGAAATTAAACAGAGAAGGCGACTTTAGGGCGGTTGTATTCAGGTCCTTGTAAGCCTTTGATTTGAATATACCACGTCTTGAGAGCCCATATTGTTCGGAACGTCTTGTACGGCTGGTGTCACGCTCACCCGGTCTTTTAATTCTTCTTTGAGATGTCTTGATGATTGTACAATGTAGCTATGAGTTAGATAGTATCAGCCAAAAAGCTGAATGCATCCAGGAACTTTGAGGCGTACCTTCAAAGGTCGAGTTTCGGTGATGAATCCCTCTCGTCTAAAGGCGTCATTGACAATTGCTAGGGATGATAGCAATTAACATGGTGCTTCAAATACGAAATATACGCACCAGCTACCCTTTCCAGCGTGGTTTTCTGAAGCCCACGCCTTGCCTCCGGTCCGATCCAAAGTACATGGGCGGTGTCATTCTTGTCTTCATTCAAGGTTCCCATTGTATCCAAGTTAACAGGTATTCCTCCTGCTTTACTACCAGCACTTCCTGTCGTGTTCGAAGCTTTGGTAGCTCCGACTATCTTGACTATTTCAGGTCGAAGGCTGCTCAGTAGATCCAGAGCCTGTTGTACAGTTTTTATCCCTTTTTTATTAGCCACATTGGCATAGTTGGACTTCTCCAAGTGCATGAGCCCTAATGTGACATGCAGTCGAGCAGGTTCAACGAAAACAGTCTCGTCGAATCCTTCAATAGGGGGATTTGAAGCGAGTAAAGCATCTTTAAACTGCAATACTCTGATTTGCAGGCCATTGTGGTGTCCCTGAATTTCATGGACAAGATGAAACAATTTCAACGGCAATCATTTAGAGAGGAAATATTCATACCAAGGGTAAGGATAGGACTATTTATCAAAGGGGTTAGAGTGTTATATCCAATAATGACCGGAGTGACTCACATGGTTCGGATGAAGCTGTTGTTTTCCGCCGCTTTTCCCGTGTTGCCGATCATTTCCTGCGACACCTTTCTCTCTGCTGGGACCATCTTCTCCTTCTTCAGATCATATTCATTGCACCGTTATTAATATGGCGTCGCACATACTATCGAAAGAGTCCCACCTTCAGGCCCAGTGCGGCTGCGCTTCCATATTTACATTCTAAATGCTGTAATAATGGACCCTCTCGGTTGATAGAACTGCGAGATATTGGTTGTTCCCTTTTTATAGATGAGGAGATGGTTGAATCCAATTTCGGTCGCTGCACCACTCATAGGTCACGTCACAGAGGTGTTCAATGGAGTACTTTATTTGCTACAACCCCAGCTATTATCTCCCTCTACTAGTCCCAATTGTATCTCCTCTTCTATTTTAAGTGCTTACTGACCAGAGCGTTGTTGGTGGGTATCAGCCTGCATGGATTGTCAGAGCTCCTCCAGGCCGTGTAGGACTGGGAGCCCACCAATGTCTACGTCCACGTCTGCGGCCTGGATCCATTCTAGATAGGGTAATAAGGTGTCTTCTCTGTTGATGTTCGCTACTAGCCATTGGCTGGACAATTTTTCTAGACGAGGATACGGCTGAATCCAAGTTTGATTCGGTCGCCGCGCCGGTCACGTGTCACTCGAGGATCCATTGGACGTTTTTCCCTGTAATATGCCCGACTAGGGTCTTCTTATAGAGATCAGTCACTCAAGTCCAAAATCAAAGTTGATAGGTGTCTCATGTAGCATTGTCGAAG